TGTATGTATGTATGTATGTATGTATGTATGTATGTATATATGTATATATATATATGTGTATGTATATATATATATATATACATACATACATACATACATACATACATACATACATACATACATACATACATATATTTCTTTTGAGTTTGAGAATATAATACGTTATCCAAAATTATAAATAATCTTACCTTCAGATGCATTTTCTTTTTGCCATCTCTGTTATTTTCTTTTAAAAAAATCAGACTTGCTTCCAATTTTTGCCTTCTGGCAAACTGCAGTTTTCTCAGAAAAAGATCTAGCTTGCCATTGCTTTCATCATAGGTCTGAGAAAGTTAGTTTCTTTCTTTTCTCTTTCTTTCCCTCTGATTGTTTCCCTCTCTTTTTCATCTCTGTCATTCTCGCCATTCAGCTCTCTTTCATTTCTTTCTCCCTCTCCCCCTTCTCCCTCTAATTTGTTTCCCTCTATTTCCCTCTCTTCCATTCTCTCCTTCCAGCTCTCTTTCATTTCCCTCTCTCTCTCTCTCTCTCTCTCTCTCTCTCTCTCTCTCTTTCTCCCCTTTTCTCTTTCATCTCTTTCTTGCGCGTGCAAGCAAAATGCCCTCCTGGGCCAGGATCACGGCGGCAGGGACAACGACTCCTTCCCCTGCCTCCACTGAGAAATGAGTAGCTGGCTGCACTGCGCAGGAGACTCCTCAGCACCAGACTCGGGTCGCTCCCCTTTGTGTTGACTCAGGAAAGAGCCGGAGCAGTCGTCTCTGGATGCAGAGAGAGAAGAGTTCCAGAGCCCTGTGCAAGGAGAGTCCTGTGTAGCACAGGAGAACTGGAGCCCTTCCCTCCCTGCACCCAACCAGCTGCTGCTGCTGCTCCCCATTATCCTTCCTGAGCCAACATGAAGGGGACCGCGGTTCATGCTCACCTGAGTCTGGCGCTGAGGAATCTCCTGCGCTGCATACCCAGTTACTCACCTCATTGTGCAATGGCGACAGCGGGGGGAGAGTTATCCCCTCCACTTTGATCCTGGCCCAAGAGGGTATTTTGCTTGCGTGCACGAAAAGGGCTGGAGCTCTTCCCGACACTGAGTTGCCCGTGAAGGACACACACACACCTTGCACCACACAGGGAACCCGAGCCGCTCCTTCCCTTCGGGACGACTTCATGCCAGCCTCTCCACGGGAGGCTCCTCGGTGACCCCGGTCACGACCCACAGGTTGAGAACTGTTGGTTTAAAACAATATAAATGAAGGGAATGCAAAGACATAATTGAATGTGAATTCTTATGCTCTTAAAGAGCAGAACATAGGACCTTAATTTAACTGGGCAATCCTCCCAGCTTTAAAATCTTTATCAAGCAGTTTATAATTACTGAAAGTTTTTGAAACATTATTTTATGTGCCTTATTTCAATATCTTCTGAAGACTTATTTTAGCCATGGCATTTCATTTGAGCACTTTTATTCTATCATAAGCATAGAACCCAAGTTAAATATTGACCATTTCTAATTGCACATGGGGAATTTTAGAAGCAACTTGATTTTTAAAATATGCCATTTGGAATCTGAGAGCATGTGTTTCATTGTTTGATAAACATAAATTATTCAGCTTTTTTTATACATTGTGACTTAATTGTTATAAATTGTTACATTGGCAGGTCCCTAAAAGATACTAAAATGACACAGTTCTTTGGAAACAATTTTACTGAGGACAGATGGCGTAAAGCAGCACTGAAGAATGCTTTTTCATTGCTAGGCAAGCAACGTTTTGAACATTCTACAGCATTTTTTTTATTGGCTGGTCACTTAAAAGATGCCATTGAGGTAACTAAAATGTTTTCTTCAGATTATTGAAAGAGATTACAATACATTTAATAATGTATTTACATACACCCAATGTTTTAATAGTACAAGCAGATTTGAATGTTATGTTGAAGTCCAACTATATGCTTAATAGTTTCATCTAAATATGGCTCGGTCAGATATGAATATAAATATGGTAGTACACTTAAAACTGATTGAAAATAGGAATAGCCTTGTTCAATGTCTAAACAAAACAAAAGAAGTATAGAATGCTAAAATATGTTTTAATACAGAATGGAGAAATTTTCAATCTAAAGAACCCTGGTGGCTCAGTAATTAAAATGCAGTATTGCCGGCTAACTCTGCCCACAGCCTGACGTTTGATCGAGGTTAACTCAGTCTTCCATCCCTCCAGAGTTGGTAAAATAAGGATCCAGGTTGTTGGGGACAGTATGCTAACATTGTAAACCACTCAGAGTGCAGTATAAGTGCTATTGCTATATGCCAGTGATGGCTACCCTTTTTCTAAAGGTGTGCCAAAACTTTATGTGCTCGCGTGTGTGCCCACCCATCTGCCCAAAAATCAGCTGGCCGGTGCATGCGTGCCAGGCAGAGGTGAGGGCTGCCATGCCAGCAAATATGGCTCTACGTGCCACCTGTGGTACATGTGCCATAGGTTGGCCAAACTGGTTATAGGCTGAGTATAATCATGGTGCCATCAAATCAAGCATGAGCCATCCTCCTTATGTAAGCCCCATGTACTCTTTTAACTACTATATATGAAAAAGCTGAAAACCAAATATAAGAAGGTAATCAAATGATATAGGGGTCTTGAACATTTTCCCTATGAGAAAAGGCAAGACTATATGGGACTCTAGTTTGGGAAAAGGGGGTAGGAGAAATTTGTGAAGGACAGATTTATCAAAGGGTATTGGTCTTGAAGATGCAACATTATTTCTAGGTTGTAGGCATCATGCCCCAAAAACCAGTTTTAAAGGAACAACAGCAGCAGAAGGTTAAGCCTCCATATTATCTGTAAATACGCCAGAGGTATCTGGATGGCTGCATACATAATCCTGGACTAAAACAGCTCTGTATTACTTATTTCTGATTGGATCTTTTTTTTAAAAAATCACTCCTTTGTTTATTTTAATCAGGTCTGCCTAGAGAAATTAAATGACATTCAGCTAGCTCTTGTAATTGCAAGACTGTATGAATCAGAATTTGAAACATCTGGTACTTACAAATCAATTCTTCAGAAGAGAATTCTGGGAAGTAAGCCTCATTCTACTGAAAGTCCATCAACACCACATTTTGATCCTTTTCTCCGAAGTATGGCTTACTGGATTTTGGAAGAGTATGGTCATGCTCTTGATACTCTTTTAAGCCATCCCACTTTGAATGATGAAGGTAAGCCTTTGGTATGTGTGCATGTTATATTTAGCCTTAAAATATTAAACAAACTCTTCTGGTAATAAGTAATATTCTACATATTATCCTCGGTGGTTCTCATGAATGATGAAGAACTGTGGCCTCCAAACCAACTAACGGTGATTTTGAAATAATCAAATGTTATCTAAATGAAGCATACTACCAGAAGCACAAGTAGGTGCTGATTTGTTTTTACTATGTCACAATGTTATTCCAAAGCATCATCTTGAAGCTTTCTGTGATTATTACAACAATGAATGTTAAGGAACCATACTGTGATGGAATAAAATATATAACGGAAATAGAGGGAAAAGTCTTAACCATTTCATGATAAATCACTTTGCCATGTTAAGAAGCGGAATAGACATATTGAACAACATTATCAAAGGTTAGACTTTTTTGTGTGTTCCTAAAATACATGGGGTATCTATGTTTCCTTAGGGTATAAATGTGTCATAATATTGACAGCAAGACAATATCGGAATTATTTCTTTTAGAAAATAAATTCTTCATTATTTTTTCATATGATACCTTTCTAGATGAAGGAAGCTTCTCAAACTGTAGCCCTTCGGTATTTAATTTTTATAATTATCTAAGGACGCATCCTCTCTTGCTGAGACGCCATTTTGGATCTTCTGATTTATCTTCCACAAGGATATGTGTAACAGGAGAAAAGGGGCTGGCAGATGAAATCAATTTAGAGGAAAGAAAATTATTCTTTACTGCAGCATATACTCATTTGAAATCTGGCTGTCCCATGTTGGCTTTAGAAGTATTATCGAAGATGCCTAAAGTGGTCAAAAAGTCAAAGAGTTTAAGAAGAACATTTAGTTTAAGGAATACTAGTAAAGAATGTTCACCCTCTTCTCCAATGCCAGTAGAATCCAAAGATGACCAGCTTTTCAGGACTGACAGGTCAGAACCAGTGCTAAATGGTTTAGGGCCATTATCAGATGCTTCACCAGACAAACATTCAGTTTCTGATGCTTTGCTTGATTGGAGTCAGCCAGCTGCAGTCTTCCAAGATGACCCGTTGGAATTAAAATGGGACAGTGACAAAGATGAGGAAAGTGAGGATTCTTGCCTTGTAATGAAACCTTTGCAGAAGATAACAGGTGAAAAAACAAATGAAGTTAACTCTAGCTGCACTGAAACCTACAGTTCAGGAGGTGAGAATGATGTCTTAGCTTCATCAGAAGACATAATTTTTGTTCAGCTGAAATTTAGGGCATGCCTGAAGATTCTTACAGAGGAACTTCGAACATTATCCACTGGCTATGAAGTAGATGGTGGAAAATTAAGATACCAGCTGTATAATTGGCTTGAAAGGGAGGTGGTAGCCCTTCAGAAGACATGTGAATACAATATTGAAGCAGATGATTCTCAGAGGGAAATTATCCCAGTAATGGGTGAAAATTGTTTAAATGAGAAAACTGAAGACCTATCAGATATACAACTAAAGGAAAATATTCAAAGAAGACATTGGCTTATAAAATACCAATCACTTTTGCGAATGTTTCTTAGTTACTGCATCCTCCATGGGTCTCATGGTGGAGGCTTGGCATCTGTACGAATGGAACTGATTTTGCTTCTGCAAGAATCTCAACAGGTAAATGGAGTGGATTTTTTTCCTGATTGATTGGGCTTGGGCTTGGGTTTAAATATTAATACATAATGATTTAAATAAAGTACTAGCAAACTATTTTTAACTTTTGCGCATGTACCAATTTGATCAAATATTTCTGGCCCCACATCTAGAATGCTAGATTGTTTTGAACTATATATTTATAATTTTGTTTTCAGATAAAAACCAGGAAAATTCTAGATTACCTTTTTTCAATAAAAAGTTTCTAAATTCATGCTTCCAGTATTTGAACTTTCAGTTTCTTGAAAATGAAAATTGAACTGGAAGTTTTAAAAATAAGCTTAGTAAAGCAGCTATAGATTTAAACCTGGGCTTAGAAAATTCAACGTTATGCTGCCTGTTAGTCACTGGGCCAATACTATTGTTCCTAGATTTATTGCAACCTAAACAAACATTTTCCCACCCAAAAAAAACCTCTGGATTCCTTGTTTTGTCCACCTTTAGTGGCCTTTTTGGGTTAGAAAGGAGAATAATTATTCCAATTAACATTGTATCAATATGCATGTGTAGGTAGAGAAGAAAATTCATCTTTGTAGGAAATTTGAAAGTCAAATTATACTCTTTATTTTTCATCCTATTTATAAAGGAATTTTCGGAGCAATTGTATAGCAATATTGTATCTGAGCCGAGCACAATACCTCTTCTTTTTGCCTGTACTGCAAGTGCCAAAACAGTGGTAGCCAACCCATTATTGCATTTGAGTAACTTGACACACGATATACTACATGCTATTATTTCTCTTGACTCTCCACCCCACCCAGATGTACAGAATAATAAGGCAAGTATCTATAATTTGACAGTATTTTACTAAACTTTTTAAAAAGATTTTATTACATTAATTGCTATAATTATATAGCCATATTAATATTTATATGTACATTGGGAGTTGTTTATTTTATGTTTAAATGCATAGCCATCTATGCCATCACCTTGAACAAGAAAATGAAAACAAGGGATTCAAGATCATACAAATATTTTTTTCTGAAATATATGTTTCTTTCAGATACATGTAATGCACACATTAGCAGCATCTTTATCAGCTTGCATATACCAGTCTCTCTGCGGGGGTCATAACTACAGGTATTTATTTTATTTTTTTACAAAAATAAGTTTTTGGGCACAATGGGAACAACATTTTTATTTTTCCCTTCTGTGAGGTAGAATCTAAATTTGGTATAAAATGCACAAAATGTTGCCTCTTATATATCTTTTCTTGTACAGGTAGTACTCAACTTACAACAGTTCATTTAGTGACTGTTCAAAGTTACAATAGCAAAAATTGTAAATGAAACAAGTAGCTATGACCATGTTTCATACTTACAAGCATTGCTGCATCCCCAAGTTCATGCAGATGCTTGGCAATTGGTTCATATTTATCACCACTGTTGTGTCTCAAGGTCATATAATCACCGTTTGCAATCTTCTGACAAGCAAAATCAATGCGGAAGCCAGATTCACTTAATAACTGGGTTACTAAATTAAGAATCTAAATGATTCACTTAACAACTGTGGCAAGAAAACTTGTAAAATGGGACAAAACTCATTTACACACTTAGCAACATAAATTTTGGGTTCAATTGTGATCGTAAATTGAGGACTACCTGCATTCTTCAAAAATAGGGTTAATTTTTCTCTGATAATCTGAAGTACTAGGACCTCAATATAAGAAAAGCTATAATTCATTAGTACCATGGTTAATTTATGATATGATATTCACTAAAGATTATTACCATTATTATTGCTATATCTTCATCTCCAGATTACATTTCTATAGTTTGGGAATCCATACTTTTTGACATAAATTCGTATTTAACCAACTATAATACTGACAAATACATTTATTTTAGATTGTTAGCTTAATCAGAGTCTACTCAGCTAATGTTAAATTGGCTAACTTAGTTAAATTAGAAATATAAGAAAAGCTACAAATTCTTAGAGCAGACATAACAAGCAATTTATTAAAACAATAGCTTTTACTGAGGTAGTTGTGGCTTACAGATATCCAAAACTGATTTGTTTTCTCATAATTATACTTTGCTATTTCCTGATCATCTTTGCTAACATCATATTACTTGTATTAGAAAACATTATGTATCTGAGAATTGGGAAACATGTAGAAGTCTCTTTATTCTATTCCTACTTTCTCGTGATAAAGCTTTAAAATTGTCTAAAAGATGAAATAATTATATTGCCAGTAAAGGGTTAGGTGTACTGGTTCATTCAAATATTGTTTGAATCTGCTTGTAATTTGCTTTTGCAGTAACAAGGTTTAGAATTCATACATTTCAAGCAAACATATGAGCAGGAGGACATTTTTTTTTTCTTTTTGTTGCATGTTTCACAAAGCAGAATGAGCCATCTTATTAAATATTTCCTTTAAATCTGCTTTTTTCAGTGTGATCACTCATTACAGAGTTAAGATTCTATGCCATAACTATGAATAACATGAACAAATATTAAAACAATTTTGAATTATTTTATGTCTAATATTTTGATACTTTCACAAGAGATTTAGTATTTTGAAGGTCATTTAGGCTATAATGTGAGGGAATATTTGATGCAGTGAATAAGGAATAAGGTTAGAAACCATATACTGGTTAGAGACCATGATTTTGGATCCTATCTTAGGCACAAAGCTAGGTGGCTAACTTGGGTCACTTTCTCTCACCCCTAGGAAGTAGACAATAACAAACCACCTTGTTGTGTAAATTGCAGGGACTTTTCCAGGCAGTTTCTAAAAACAATTGAACAATTGAACAAAAAACAACAGCTGCATGTAACTAGGAGTATTTTAAGGCTATGCAACATAAATGTGTGTACTTTAATACCGTCTTATTTCTACATGCCATTTCCAGTGCTATGTAATTATCTTTTTCTATAAAGATTAGGAAGAAGCAAGGAAGTCCAAAAATTAAGTGATATACTTTGTTTCTGAATGTGAAGTTTACCTGATAGTATTAAATACTATCAATATTAGTATTAGTAATTGTATTAAATCACTAATATATTCCTAATCAATCTCAGTTTGAAGCTGACTTTAAATAGCAGGTCTTATAATAACAGATCACAATGCAAAATTTTGTAGCCTTTCATCAGCTAATGTTATTAACACTCTTGATTAGAATATGTATAAAATAGTTAAACTAAGTAAATTATGATCAACCACTATATTCAAACAAAATACCATAATTAACACTGATTTTTACAATTTTGTTTTTTGTATAGTTTATTGCAAGCAAACCAATTCACTGGAATGATTTATCAGACGTTGTTGCTTTCCCATCGGCATTCTCTAAGAACAGCAAGTTCAGATGAAACAGTAACACCAAATACTACACCAGCTCAATGGCCAGGTAATCAAGATTTATGGAGTTTTGAACTGTCTGGCTTCTTTGAAGTAGAGTATATTGTCTGTGTTACAACAGGGAGTTTAAAATATTTTCTTGCCTGTTTCTTCTTATAATACGACTTTCTGGCTACTAGTTGTTTTTTCTTCCACGTTAGATTAAATACAATATTAGGTAACCTCATAGTGTTAGGCATAATTTGATTGTTGTTAACTGGCTTGTTTGGTTATTTTGGGCTCTATAGTTAACTTTGATTTCATTCAGATTAATATACCTAAATCAGGCCTACTCTCATGTAGCTTAACCAGATTCACCAAGTCAACCAGATTCATTCTGCCTTGGTAAATGAATAATTATGAAATAAACCCCTTTTGACTTGAGTACAGAGTTCTTAGCCTTTCTGGTTGACGACACGGATGGAGGGAGGTGCAAATACCTTTACACACACATGTGCATGTGCGAGTGGGGCTGCTTGTGCATGAATGAGGTCATGAGTATGCTTACGGCAGCACTAGTGTTCACACAATAGTTATGGCCCGGTAGTGGACTGCAGGTTGGAGACCCCTGGTTTAGTATTCATGATTGAATTCAGCCCATAACCATACTGCATTCTTCAGAACCAGAAGCATGGTCAAGATGAATTCTTGTGAAAAGCTTTTAATATGAACTTGTAATCATAATTTTCTTGGTTAAGCAATAGTATTTGGCAACTTTTTGTATTATTCAAATCCATGAAATTTCATTTTTGTTATTTTATCCATTTCCTTTGACATTGCTGCAATGAGTATATCAGGTTGCCTTTTTGATTGTAAATACACTTTAAAAAGTCAAGGTAAGGCAACTAATTTTAAAAAGAAAGCATGATATAGAATTTTGTAGTTCAAAAATAAAGAATAAGAAGGCCATTGCAATAAAATAAAATGATTAATAAATGAAAATAGCTAAATCATAATAGTATAAATCAGAAACAAAAACACCAAAGGCATATAAATTTAAATCAAGTAATAATCTGTTATCTGTATAAAAAACCAATAATCCAAGGAAGCATTGGATGCTTCTCTGCTTAGGAAAGAGTATAAAGAATGCATAGAGAGTTTTTAATATACCTTGTAACCTCCAGGGAATCCTTTCTTTTCCCACTCAGCCATTGATTCTTCAATCTTGGTAACTTTTAGATTTGTGGATTTTGACTTCCAGAATTCTCAGTAACCGTCATACTGTTTGGGAGTTCCGGGTGTTGATTCAGACATCTGCAGTTGCCCCTTATAGTATTATACACCTTATAGTATTATAGTGTTTGTGGAGATAATTGCAACTGGCTTCTTTTGTCTTTCTTTGTATTATCACTAAATGGTACTCCCTGTCTATTCAGGAATAATGGATTTAATACAATTGCTGAATCAAGCTGGGGAAGAAGCTCAGTCTGGGATCACAGTTTTGCTCTGTGAAATTCTTACGGCAATCTACCTTAGTCTCTTCATTCATGGTCTAGCAACTCATTCCAGCAATGAATTATTCAGGATTGTGGCCCATCCCCTTAATGACAAAATGTGGTTTGCTGTCTTTGGTGGTGGTGCAAAGATTCCCAAGAAAGGACCAATTCAAGAAACAACCAAGATGGGTTAGTACATTCCTTATTTTTTCCTGTATATAAATATTTACTGAACTCTGTTTCTTTGTAGTTTTTATATTGTGTATGTTATCAGAGTGGTGTGGTGGCTCAGCAATTAAGACACTGGGCTTGGTGGCTGGAAAGCAGGCAGCCCAGGTTAAAGATCCTTGCTCCAGCTCCTGCCAAACTAGCAGTTCAAAAGCATGCCAATGCTAGTAGATCAATATATACCTCTTCATTGGGAAAATAACAGCACTCTGTGACATAATGCTGACGATACGACTGGAAATGTCTTCGGACAGCGCTAGCTCAATGGCCTTGAAATGGAGATGGGCCCTACCCAATATGATTGGCAACGACTGGTGGAGTAAAATCTGCAGGGACACATTTTTTTATATTATTCTACAATGATACTAAACCTTAATTATCATTACGTACATGAGCAGAAATATCATTACATAAAAATGAACTTTTATATTTTGTGTATCCATCTCTTCCTTCCAATTTAAGGAAAGAAAAAAACTAGAATTTGGTTTTAAACTAGAACTGTTGATAGATTCCTTTTGAACAAGAAAATAAATGTGGAAAAAAATCCTAAAGAAGTTGGGAGAAAGATATATTATCTCTTGCTAGCTTGTTTAACAATGATAGTATTAGAATTTTGTGTGGGGGAGAGAAACATCATAGAAGTAAAAGAAAAAACAGGCTCCAATATAGGAGGATTTCTATTAGTGCACATAATATTGTATATAATATGCCTATTGTCAAAAAATAATAACATACCTTTTCATTCATACCTATTTAGGGTAATACACTTCCCTATATTCAGGAATCTAGTGCAGCAGTAAATATTATATTCATAATTTTAATATAAGTAAAATTGTTGCCTTATGAATGTATAATGCATACATAAAGAATCCTAAATAGATTTGAAAAAAGTTCTGTTTGGAAAATTAAAATCATTTTCTGTTTGTAACTGTAATGTTAATAACATACTGGTTGAACATTTTTTTAAAAAAATGTTGAAACATTTGTTTTCTATTATGTATGACAGCAATATTCTATCTAAGGGTAGTCTTATGTTTTCTCTCTTTGGCAGGTAGGCACTTCTCTATGCCTAGCCCACATCAGGTAGTAGTATTTTCTATGGAATGCGTGGGGTTTACCAAATCTCTAACAACCATCAGTACTCATAGTCCTACCAAACTTGCAGGCAAGATGCTAGCTTCAGTTCTAGGCATTTGAATATAGTGTTGATATGTGATGTGATCTTGCATAAAAAAGTAATAAAGCAAAAACAGTCTCTTTGTAAGTCATGATCTCTGATTTGTGGTTTATTATGTCAGAAAAATTAACCAAAATTTCAATTATTACAAATCACAGTTGGTTATTTTCATGCTAAATTAGTTTTAATAATGAAGGAAGACCATGACTTGCAATTATCAGAATATTTCAATATATTTGTGTCCATCAAGCTGCTTGTTTGTGTCACATGACTGTATGCATGTGGCTTTGAATTTTTATTAGTTTAGCATAAAAATATTTTTAATAAAAAATCATTTATTAATTGAAGATTAGTGTAGGCTAGCAAATAATAAAAACATAATGGCATTTACAAATGATAGGCTTATACAAATGATTTTATTTTGATTATAATATGTAATTAGCAAGTCTAACACCAAAAGATCTTAGTAGAGATCTCTAATCTACAATCTTGTATTGAATATTTTTAGTAAAGTAAAAATAATATTGTGAAATATGTACAGTTTCAACACTAAATGTATACATTTTAAATAGAAACTGATGTCAATTTTCTTTATGGGTTTAGATGAAGAAGTCAGGAAGAAGGGAATAAAATTGATTTCAGTGTAATTCAGAAAAAAGAAATTAATTGGTTAACAGATGTTTTGGACTGTGTTGGAGGAGAAGGCATAATTGATTTAAACATTTAATCTGGATTTGAAGTGTTGGTGGAATCTTTTTCAGGGTTTGTGTTTGGATAGAGATAAATAGAAAATTATATAACTTCTCAGAATAAACTGATATTACAAAAATGTATATTGATAGTACTCAAATTATGACTACTATTGAGCCCAAAATTACTGTTGTTAAGTGAGATAGTTCTTAAGTGAGTTTTGCCCCATTTTACAACCTTCTCTGCCACTGTTGTTAAATGAATCACAGGAGTTGTTAAATTAATAAAATGATTGTTAAGTGAATCTGGTTTTCCCATTGACTTTGCTTGTTTTGCAAAAAGTGGTCATATACTCTTGAGACATGCAACCATTATAAATAAGAGCTAGTTGCCAAGCATCCAAATTTTAATCATATGAATGCTGCAATGGTCATAAGTGGGAAAAACAATAATCACTTTTTTCAGTGCCATTATAATTTCGAATGATTACTAAACAAATGGTTGTAAGTCAAGCCCTACTTGTATATAGTTTCATTATCTGGTTCGTTCAATGATTTAAACATTCTAAAATTGAGAATAAAAAGTATTCCTTTTAAGTGAGTTTATTATTTTGGGTTGCAAGATTGGTTAAGATGCATAGATGTAAGGACTGTGAATTCTAGGCCTGACTTAATTGTGAAAGCAAGCTAGATGATTTTGAGTCAGTCACACTGTGCCTTGTGCCATGTCCTGGATCATCTTAGCCAACCCCACCTCACAGGATTGTGACAGGAGTATTAAGTATGTTTGCCATTTTGTGTGTGTGTGTGTGTGTGTGTGTGTGTGTGTGTATAGATGGATGGGTTGTTGGATGGATGGATGGAAATAAATATTTTTCTATTAGTTACTTAAATTATTTGTAGTTAGCTATTATGTTTATAAAATATTTATGTAGTTAAAATATAACTGGTAGGCATTAAAAGATAGACTTTTTAACGATTCCCAAGACATAAGTGTTGACTTTTAGTGTGCTAAAGAGAAGAAATCACCAAATTAAAATGTACTATCTTATCCAAAATTTCAGCTTTGGAGAAAGTTGATATTACTATAGAGTTTATTTGATATGAAACCTAATCCTAATTATTTAGGAATATTACCTGGATTGTTAATGAATTAGCATTCTGGTTGTGTAGAATAACACAACCATGCTTAAGTTGAAACTGAGAATTTGTTGCTTTCATAGAATACTGGCCTAAATCTGCCAAAAGCAACCAGTCACTAGTACTGTCTTTACTAGTAGCACAGAATGCTGATATGACACATGTTTGACTAAGGCTGGTAATCTAATGTACACCATTGCTGCTCCATATTGGTGTTATATGAAAACTTCAGTCAACTAAAAGCATGATGGGCCCTGGGTATCAGTGCTGATGGGCCTATCTAATGATGATCAGAGCATGTAGAAGATCTACTTGGAGCATTCATTCATTAATGAATAAAATGAAAAGTATGCAATTGTGTATACAAGAAATGAGAAAGATTCAATAATCTAAACAAAAGTTGCCTGATCTTTAGGGGTGGATTTGATGAATGCATGTGAAAGTGTAAGTTTTATTCTTAAAATAAAGAGTTAAGATATATCTCGGAAAGTTTAAATTAGCATTATCTTGATTTGTGGATGCATGTGAAAATAGGAATTCAGAGGTTGGTGACAGTTGACTATTGAATAATACTAATGAAAGATCTCAGGATCAGAGTTATAATAGGTAATTAGATAAAAGTTAATTTAAAAAAATCATGGTGTGGCCTTGGTCTTATTTTATGTATGTGTGAACACCACACCTATGCCTGATGACTAGAAAAATGCCCTTTTCCATTATATAAAAGGAAAAGTAGCAAGAATGAATGCAAAAATTTTGGAAGTGTGCCTGAAAGGTGTTTGTTTGACAGAATTTTGTTTGAAAAGATACAGATGGTGACCATGAGCAATATTTTGGGAGTGAAATGAGGCTTTATTTTGTGAAGAGGATGCATAGATCATTTTTTTTGTCCTTCAGCAATAATTGAAAAATATATTATGTTACTTGATTCAAAGAAAGTATGTGAATAAACCTGAAGATTTATGAGAATATGGACTGAAGATTGCTTGCTCAACTTGATAAGAATAATATGTGAAAAAAGTAAAGCATGAATAAGAATCATAGGAATGCTGAGTGAATGGTTCATTATTGTGGAAGGAAAGAAACAAGGATATGTGATGTCTCCCTGGTTGCATAATGCAATTGTGGATGAATAAATAAGGAATGTAGAAGCTTGTGCGCATATCAGAAGTGTACTGGGTGGAGTACGAATGTGTTTGTATTTTAGTATGTAATTTATGCCATGTTGTTGGCTGTAAACCCAAATAATTTGCAATACATGTTAGAATGTACAATGCAAGGAGGAACATGACTCTGAAAATTAATGTGTCAAACACCAAAGTAACCATGTTCGAAATAAAAATGGAATTAACAGTTGAAACAGGTTGTAAATTTAATAAAAGAGAATCTGGAGAAAGAAAATTAGTTTGTATAACCTACAAAAATGTTTCCACCTTATTAAGGCCATTTCCCTGCTATAGGCTTAAGCATTTTCATACTACCGGTCAGATGTTGCCAAAGGAATATACAGTGTCTTATTTCATGGAAACAATTATTGGGTGATTCTATGTAGATACTGTAGAGAAGTAGTGGTGAAACAAAATCAATATTCAGAATTCATTCAGGCAGTCTATATGACAAATAAATATTATACCAGTAATTAATTATAATGATTTATTACAAAGTGTATATTCATTATGGGTCAGTAGTTGTTCTCTGATTAGTTTAGCTATTATATTAATTCTTCAATTTATTTGATTAAAGTGCTAAAAAACAGTCCTCTTTTGTACCCAGAAAACCTGTTTAAGTGCTAAAAGCTTTAAACAATTCAATAAAGTTTCAGGGAGGTCAGGTTTAAAATTTAAAAACATATAAAAATAGGCCATTGAATAGTTTAAATGTAAGAATAACACCTTTAAATGATAGCTTCCTCTTTGAAAACCTATATAAAATAATTTCCTGAGAATTAAATTGTAGTAAGAAAGAAAATATCATGGTAAAAATCTTTGTTTTATGTAAATGAAAAATTTTAAATACGTTATTACCAAATAAATTAGCATGGATTCTATATGAGTTGCATACCTTACTATTTTGTGAAATAAATAGGACATTTGTAAAAAGATGATAGATTACAGAAGGATACAGTATATTCAGATTTACAAATTATATTGCAAGCAAATATTTCAGTAATAATGCTACCTTTTAACTGGGAATATATATCCATTTAAAATATTACATATATACCATTCTTTCAAGTAAAAACAGTTTACAGAATAAATTTGTAGATCACTATATTTTTTGGAGTATAAAACGCACCCCCCCCCCCCCTAAAGTTCAATTCTGGAGCCAACCAGAAGTCCGGTTCCCCTCCACCATAGAGTCTCCTCCTAGCACGGCATTATTTTTCAGAGTATAAGAGGCACCTTTCCTCACTCTAAAAGAGCGTGGAAATGTTGGTGCGTCTTATATACTGAATACAGCCATTTTTTTGGCCTCCCGAAGTCTGGCCCCTGCATCTCATTTTTGCCTTTTCTCAGCCCTGCTGAAGCCTGCAGAGTGCTCCTGGGGCGAGGGAGGACAAAAACTTACCTTTTCGAAATCTTGGTGCGTCTTATACACCGGTGTGTCTTATAGTCCGAAAAATACAGTACTTTTTTAAAAATCCATATTTTAATGTAATTCTATTTCTTCCCAATATATTAAAAAAGTCATGCCATACCAAAATAATTCTGTGACATCATTCAATTAAAATTAGGTCAACCTGTTTGGAATTTCAAATGGCTAAATAGAATGCATATTGTGATGACTGTTGCAACTTTCCATTGCAAGCTGTGGAATGCTCAAAATGTTGCTGCTTGTGCAAAACATGATACAGTTTATGGGTTTTGATACTAAGGGAGTGTCATTTCAGAATGCTTTTTAAATTATTTATATTTTAGTATTTGGAATAGTATTTGACTGAATTGGTTTGTGCAATCTCTGTAGGCTTGGGGCTCGGAAGTTTTTTCATCATCTGTTTTGTTTTGTCTTTTAGAAAGACAAAACATTTTGATTTCACACATCCTTAATTCTTCCTCTCAAAATGACAGAGTCAAAGATCATGTCAAGTAAATATAGCACTGATCTGCAAGTACTTAAACCAAATTGTCATTTCAGGTGGTCATATGATTGTTAGGGAAAGCTATTAACAGAATTCTTGGAAAGAAACATTTGCTTTAAGATAGATAGGTGTTACATTTGTACCCCACACATTTTAAAAAACATTTTTGTCTTTGACAAAGATAAACCGTTCCACACCTTTATACCGCAAGAGTTCTTGTAACTTCAAAATAAAATGGTAAACCATGTTTAAAGTGCATTTCTTAAAAAATAAAATGGTATTTTCATTTTTTAATAATATGTTTAAAGTTGTTTGATAATTTTATAATTTATGGGTTAATAATATTGCCCACTTAAATAGCAAATTTATTTCCTAATAGGGAAGATTGAATGGGAATTAGAGATAAACAGTTTTTTTTCAGTCTCTGTATCATGTAACATTTTGTTCAGCTTATTATTTTGTGCCTCCATTTCAATATAAGAGTAAGTTTTATTTTATTTAGTTGAAAAACTAACGTTCCATAGTAAGCAATGCATGTGCATGCTTGTTCTGGCTAAAAGACTTTGAACTGTAATATGTAATATTTGATATATCTTTAGCATTAAGGTAAGTGAGATTTTCATCTTTATATATTAAATAGTTTGATGACAACTATTTTGAAATAACGTTTATTTTCAGTAGAAATGCTTATACATAGACCTAATAGAGATCAGTGAAACTTATATGTTTATATTTTCTATTATAATGCATTTTTATAAAATTTAATATATATTTGTAGTATGAGCATTGAATATTTCCATTCTCAAGATTTATGCAAAAATAATGAATCATTCAAATTTTCTTGGAAACGTAACCAAAAAGTTACAAGTGGGAATAAAAGTTAGCCATGTTGTTTAATTGCAATAATGAAACATAACAGGCATTGATTGATAGTTTTTGTTTGTTTTTGTTATAATTAAGCAAGTAGGTTATAATTGATATGAAAGGTGAAGATGATATTATTTATTTGATAAGTTTCATTTCCTATAAAAATGAATGTAATTTTTTTGTAGCCTCTTCTCCTATAGATGATGGTGAGAAGCAAAATAAGCAGTTTAGACTGACATCAAAATCATCATCAAAAGAAAATTCACCTACTAATTTACCTGGAAAAGAACAAGATACTTCAATTTACAAAGAGAAATTTATTCCTCCTGAACTTAGTATTTGGGACTACTTTATAGCAAAGGTATCTTTATGTTGTTGGAAATAAAACTTGTCCTACTGTTCCTTCACAAATCTATCTCTGTCAGCTCCTTCTTCAAACTTGTGCACCTACAAATGATAATCTTTTCAAATAATATCCTACTCTCTGCTGAGATATATAAGGATTAATCTTGCATTCTTACATGTATATATCCTATAAATTTAATTAATAAATACAATAATACCACCTTAGGAATGCATAAAATGCCAATTCAGTATAAAGGTAAGATAAAGGCTAGAATTTTTCTTACTCTGATAAGCAAAATAGTAACACTTCAACAATTTTTTCTTAATCTGTTTTCTTCTTTTAGCCATATCTTGCAGCATCCCAAACTAGATTTGAATATGATTCAGAAGAAAGTCAGGACAGCAGTGATGAAGATGAAGATGGAGCATTCTTATCAGATTCAAAACTTCAGGAACATTCTAACTCAAATTCATTTAGGTATAAGTTATTACTGACTTGTATCTATAGTTTTTTCTTTACACAATTCAACATGTAGGCATCTTTTCATTCATCTTACATTAAGTCATGTATTGTATGATGCTACTAATTTAGAGTTTTCCCTGTCTTTTGGTTTTGACAGCAGACTAGTCAGAAGAAATCCCTCTAAAGCATTTGATAATTCACCAATGTATTGTATATTTTCCTTGAATCCTGCAAATGAAACACATTATAGTATTCACTAAAGAAAACTAGGGTTCTAGTTTAGCATAGGCATGAATTGCAATATATAATTGCAGAAGAAATTATATAATTCTTTACCAAAGCTATGATTTCTTAAAATTATTAATATATTGGTGTGACTTCCATCCCCTATTCCATGGATCAGACTAATGATTTATTAGAGTTAGGATTGGGCAAGAATTAAATAGACACTTTCAATAATTATACTTTAATGTATATTTTTTAATATATATATTAAAAATTTATAAAATAAAATCCTTTCATTTGAAATAAAATTCAAAACAAATTTAAAACCACATTTTAAATGGGAAGGACAGAATGTCTTACATTTGCGGAATTCCTGAAATCTAGATTTAAATTTACATTTCTTTTGGATTAATATTTGTTCTATGCAGCAGGAACTATAAAAAATCTAATCTTTACTGTCAGGTTTTCCAGAAAGAGCAAGTGTGAATAACTGACAGCAATCCAACTTTGTAGGTTCAAATAATAATAGAAAAAATACCTGGGTCCTTCCTAAAATTTGCATGTAAACTCATTTTTAGAGTAGTAACTAAAAGTATATGGTGTGAATTAGATAGTCATTGTTCAAATCTTCTCAGGAGTAGCCTTGCTTAATTATAATGTTTTATCCAAAGAACGTTTGAACAGCTACTTTAAGTATATATGGGGAAGAAGATTGCAAAAGCATTATAATTAGGGTTAAATTTAAAATAAAATATTAATTATTTGTATCCTTTTTTTCTCTTAAAATGATTTTAGAATGCCTTGTAATAAATACGTTTAAGTAATAAGAGAAAAAAGAAAACAAGTATTAGCTAAATAGTTAAATACAAAATATTTTCGGTCCTCAGCAACATGCAAATTCCTGGAAAAACAATAACATATTTTTTGTTGTTTAGTTGGTCATTGATGCGCTTGGCTATGGTTCAGCTTGTTCTCCGTAACTTGAAAAGTTTCTACCCATTGGCTGGACATGATCTTACAGGTAATTAATATATTTTTGACCATTGTTGGACATTGTCTGTTTTTATATGTGCATATCTCTCCATTCATTTAAACTAGATGTACTGTATGCCAGATATTTTGAGTAAATGGGAAGTCTTTTATTAGTTGTGTCATTTGAAATGATCCAGTTTTGATTTGAAACATAATACCAAATTTGTAATGCATGTTTTTCATCTGGGGATCTTTCAGAACGATAACAGCCAAAATGGAACTTTGTCAGTAAAATTCAGAACATCTGATATATATGTATATGATAATAGATTGTAAGAATATATTAACTGCAGTCATTTAAATTCAAATGTGCTGCCTATTTATTCTCTTATCAATTTCAGCAGACTCTTTTCAGACACAACTGCCAATTCACAAACAGTTTCACAATTCATGCAGTGTGGGATGGGGTAGGTGAGATGAGGTGAGAAATAAGCATTTCTCCCTTTCTCTCGGCAATACTGTTGCAGATGGCGATGTTTCTAGTTCAAGAGCTGCTAGGAATTGAGTAAATTTATTTTTCTTTAGGACATTCTATTAATAGCTGATGCAGACAACCTCTGCATACTTAATGAGAAACTAGGTCCTATTTTAACTCAGTAAAATGTTTCTGTTTAGTCTGAAGAGTTCTTACATTGTTTTTCATTCAATAATATGTTTGCTAACTTCAATTTTGGATATTTCCTTCTGAAGTTCTAAAGTTCACCTTAATGAGAAAACATGTCTAGTGTTATTAATGTTCTGAGAACAGCAACAGTTGTAAAAATTATGTAGTATAAAACATTCAGAGAATATAATATACTTTAAAGAAAATACTGAATAAAAAAAATATCTGTTCCTTAGAACTTCCAGTTTGTTCACCGTTATGCCATGCAGTTCTAAAGGCTCTTCAGCGGTGGGAGCAGGTTCTTCTCAGACGACTTGAAATGCATGGAGGTCCACCAGAAAACTTTATTTCTATTCACATTTTACAAGATGCCTCATCTTCAGGCCCTGCATTACTTCGCCACAAAGCTTTGCTAGAGCCAACAAACACTCCTTTCAAGTAAGGTTATACCTTGAACAGAATAAATTTTGTTACATTTCTTATCTACTATTAGTGAAGTATATGGAATCACTTGGAAATACTTATTTTTCATTCACAAATTCACAATTTAGCTCTGCCATTTGTACATTTTTAAACTTTTCATTGTCACAAATAATGCAACTTATTAAGCTTTGATTAAGTAACTAAAAGAAAACATAAGAGATATATCAAACTAGGGCCTTGAAAATGATAAGCAAGTTTTCCATCAAGAGCAACCATGGGTACAGTTAAGAGGGAAAAATTGGCTTTGAGTTTCCATGACAAAACCTCCCAAAGATTAATATGCTTTGAGTGATTCCCACAAGAAAAAAAATAGATATTTTGGTGCAATTACTTTGGCTTACCAATATGCTCTCTCTCAGAATTTATAAATAAAATGTAGGACTTAATGTTTGCCAAGATTTATCAAGTTCTCTATTATTTCCTATTGTTTGCTCTGTGTTTGTGTATGAAAACACACACACACACACACACACACACACAGAGACACAGAGCCTGGAAACCAAAAATTGGCGAGGGTGGATGGGGCACATGTACAGGGGACGCACATACAGGCAAGAAGAGAAAATGCATTGCGTTTTGGGGTTTCACATGCACACTTTGGGCACTCGGCACCAAAAAGGTTACCCATCACTGGTCTAGATATTCTCCGCCCTGCCCCCCCAAATCCAGGTATCTTTCCAGGTTTTAGTTTCTTTTATAATTCCACAAACTTCTCTTATTATCATATGTCTGTTCAAAAGCTGTGTTTCTCTGTAATCTTTAATAAATGTTACTTTGTTAAGTATTTATCCATTTTCTCCAGGGAAATTACTTGTCCTTTATATAAATTAGAATCATTGATAAATTATTTTTTCATTTATGTTCACCTTATTATAATTTTTATTTTTCTTGTAATTTTAATATCATTTTATTTCCCTTTTCCTTTCAAAATTGGTATTTTAGCATTTTCTTGATTTCTTGCAAACTCAATTTGTTTGAGTTTGTCTCATTCATTTTTATTTCTTCTTCTCTTACTGACAACATAGACAATTTTCTTTGTAAAACTTTACATTTGTTGGGTAATATCTTGTGTTCCCTAGAAGCTTCTTTAATTCTTGGAAACTTCTTTAATTCTTGTGAATCTTTTTAAATTATGTACAGCAAAATAGATTACATCATGCTTTGGGTAACTTTTATATAGAAATATCAAGAAAAATATATAAAACAGCAGCAGCCATGTAAAGAAGGATGAGTTAAGAGCTAAAGGGATTAGTTCAGAATCTCTCAGTGAGCTTTCAACCATGGTGGCACAATGGTTAGAATGCAGTGTTGCCGGCTAATTCTGCTGCCTGCAAGTAATTTGATTCTCACCTGCTCAAGGTTGACTCGGCCTTCCATCTTTCTGAGGTCGGTAAAATGAGGACCCAGATTGTTGAGGGCAATATGCTGACTCTGTAAACCACTTATAGAGGGCTGTAAAGTATTGTGAAGCAGTACATAAGTTTAAGTGCTATTGCTATTTTAAGGATTAAATATGAGTTTTGTGGTCCTTACCCATTCTTTAACCACACTAATATTCTAAATATACTAATTTGAAACCTGAGTCATGCTTTCAACTTCAGCCATTAATCAATAGCTATCAGTAAAAAACAGCTGCTTAGGAAAACCAAGTTTTAATTATTTCTTCCCAAATATTCTGTGACCATTTACTTCTAAAACTGTCCAATAATTGCTATTAATGCAAGCTGAACAGAAAAGATGAAGATTATGTATGTTGCCTTATAAAATATATTATTTGAGTAACTTTCTTCAGTCTCGCAACCATCCTCATCTTCCATGTTATAAATTCATCATATCACATATGCAAACCTTTTTGCAGTTCATCAGTAAAATGATTCAGTATGATTAGCAAACTCTACCTATGTTCTACTTATTACAACTATAGAAATTATTTTTTAGAATAATAAAATAGATGATGTACTGTATAATATCAGATATGTTTTACTTATACTTATGCCATTTTCTTACTATGCCTGAGGAATATTTGCAATAGGTATCTTCAACCTAAATATCATCGCTTTCTAAAATGCTAACGATTTTACTAAAGAAGCCTGTTAAAATGAAGCAGTTATTGTTTCTCATTAAACTTGCTGATTTTACCATTTTCTGCTTTGTCAATATGTATACTAATGTATATCAAATTCATCACTTGTATTTGTTTGAAATTATATCACATGTTAAAAATGATTCTCATTTTTAGATCCAAAAGTCATTATGCATTATCCGTAAAAAGACTTTGGCAGTACCTTGTTAAACAAGAAATTGTCCAAGAAACCTTCATCAGTAACATATTTGCCAAAAGAAAGTGTTTAAATGAGGTTAGTGTTTATGTTTATGTAGAAATTTAAATCCATTAATTGCAATTTAATTAAGCTAATATTTCTTTTCAAATTTAAAATTTTACTACTATTCTATAGAAATAAATTCCAAAACATTTCCCCTAGGATTCTAGTAATGGAAAAGGCAAAGGTATTGCACATAACTATTTGCATTCCTCTATGGTTTATTGAATCATTGGATTGTATTACTAAATATTAAAAAGAAATATTTATCACTTTAGCTATCTCTATAGCATGATATAAAATAATATATGGTTGATTACTTTGCTGTTCTCATGCATTATCTTCTAGGCTTATTCCAAGTAAACTAATTAACCTTCAGAAAACACTAATAATAATTTTGTCAGCTAGGCCCCTTACCTTTTTTCATAGCTACTGTACATACAAAACTATGATTAATAATTTAATCTTGACTTTTTAGGTGTAATATTTGAGCTTTTCAAAAAAAAGGATTCTACTATATATGCTCACCTTGTATATTGTTTCATATTATTAGCCTATAAATTTTTCATGTAGTTCTTTTTGTTGTTATTGTTTTTCCTTTTGGATTTAGTCATTAGAAGACCAGTCTGAATTTACCAAAACTAGTTCAGGAGAAGAATCAGGAGTCAATAAGGTATGTATCATAATAATAAGAGATGTATACTAATTATCCTAAAACATTTTCTAGAAAATATTTTATTTCCTCATATGTAAGATATTAACCAAACCAAATTTGTTAAAATCTACAATCAACTGGCTTTTTAATCTAAGCAGTGTACTAGTGTACAGGTATTCCTTGACGTACCATTCATTTAGTGACCTTTCAAAGTTACAATGGCACTAAAAAAAAGTGACTTTTGACCAGTTATCACATTTATGACCATTGCAGCATTCCCATCATCATATGATGAAACTTCAGGTGCTTGGCAACTAGCATGTGTTTATGACAGTTGCACTGTCATGTGATCATTATTTGTAACCTCCTCAGCTGGCTTCCTACAAGCTAAGTCAATGGAGAAAGCTACATTTGCTTAACAACCATTTGATTCACAGTGATTCACTTTACAAAAACGGCAAAAAAGTTTGTAAAATGGGGTACAATTCACTTAACTGTCTTGCTTAGTATTGCTTAATTTTGGGCTCAATTGTTGTAAGTTGAGGAATACCTTTACAGAATTGTACAATATTCTGTAAGGCCATAAAGACCTAATTATAGAATTAGAATGTATTTAGAGTCCTATATGTTGGCTTATCATTATGTGTAGCAATAGTTTTATTCAGTGATCATGTACATTTATTCTGCATTGCTTTTTATTACTTCATATTTTTATAATATATGCCACCTAGAATCACTTGTTGAGATGAGTGGCTAGAGAAATGAAATAAATACATATTGCACTTAACAATGTTCTGGTTTGAAGTTGCTGGTTTTTTGCAATAACATGTAATAAATATCAAATAATTTTCAAATTCCAAGCAATTACATGATCAGTGCTGAGTTAAAAATGAGATATTTCTTCACTTCAGCTTCTTTTAGAAATTTTCACTACCATTTTTAGAGGGTTTTTTTTTAGATGAATGAACTGAATTTAATCTGAATGAATGATTATATAGAGATAGGATCCCACCAAAATGTTTTTATTAGGCTAGCTTGAATTTATAATTATATTTAATTAGGCTAGACATATTTCTGATTAATATTTATCATATGTTTTAGCATGATCTAAAAGATGAAAAGCCTTACCATTGTGCTATATTGTGTATGTTGCCTTTTGTCTTTTCTTTTTAACACAGATAGAGCATGATGCAGGATCTCCTGGAAGTAAAGCAAGAATTATCCATAAAGAGTCTGACATTATTACTGCCTTTGCTGTCAATAAGGTATAGACAAATGGAATGGTCGGGGGAATATTCCTTAAATATTTTGAAATGTTGTAACTTGCATCCGTATGAAGTAACTTCTATTGTACTTCCAACTAGAGGATTTACGCTAAATTATTACTTTGTAATAAAGATTTTTGGTTCTATAGCACTAAGGGAACTGAAATCTTTCTTGAAGTATAGTTTTTATTTTTATTGTTTACATTTAGAAACCATCCGCCTTCTTCACAGAGGGACCCTGTGTGATGTACAAGTAGAACATTAAAAACATATAAAATATAATAAACATAGAAATTAAATATAAAAATTTAAAACATTGCAAACATATATCCACAAAATTAAAGAATAGCATCAGGACAAACAGATTAATGTAGTGAAACTATATGGAAAATTTTAAGTGGGAAGTAATTTATATTAAAATGATTATAAAACTGATAATTTTTTTAAATAATTTTTTTTTATTTTTATTATTCAACACAGACACAACACAAAGAATCCTTCTTTAATTTTGTGGATATAT